AGAGAGAGAAAGAGAGAGAGAGAGAAAGAGAGAGAGAGAGAGAAAGAAAGAAAGAGAGAGAAAGAAAGAAGGAAAGAGAGAGAAAGAAAGAAAGAAATAAACAACAACAAAACTCTGAACTTGTGACACAAGCTATGGGATACGCCAAAGCAGCAGACAGTCTGGACTATCCTTTTTTTCTTTCTTTTTTTTTTTTTTTCTGAGGATGGTGGCACATGCCTTTAATCCTAGCTCTTACAGGACAGGGTAGGAGGACCTCTGTGAGTTGGTGGCCAGCCTCACTACAGAAAAACCACCAGGAGCTACCACATAACCCAGAGACTTCTTGGGTGAGATCTCCAGGGAACTGAAGACAAAGTCCATAAAGACCTACGTCAACTGTCCCAAGGCGGAAGCCCAAACGTCAGGTGATGAGTATGTAGATGACTGTCCATAGCCAGGGGATGTGCATTCTTGGACTTCCTCAGCCTAAGTTGTACATTACAGTCATGCCCCAAACCAACCAAACAAAAAGCTGTGTCTGAGCTTATACAGACTTACTCCCTAAACCAGCGGTTCTCAACCTTCCTAATGTTGCATCCCTTTAATACAGTTCCTCATGTTGTGGTGACCTCAACCATAACATTATTTTTGTTGCTACTTCATAATTGTAATTTTGCTACCATATAAATTATAATGTAAATATTTTTTGGAGTCAGAGGTTTGTCAAAGGGTCACCACCCACAGGTTCCTCTGCCCTAAACCACTTACATGCTATTTCACTGCACTAAGTAATATAATCTAGAGCTAACTTGGAGTATTCAGGAGAATATGTGTCGGTTACATGCAAATATGAGGTATCTTAAGTACAGGAATTGAACTACCACCATTTTTATACCCTCAAATGTCCTGGAACTAAATCTGCATGGCTATGGAAGGGATGATTCATAGTATTATCTGGCCAATACTAGAAAATAAGTATTAATATCTGTTACATGTGAACAAACTATGTTAATTGACTAAAAAGCTAGTCCCAGAAAACTACATACTATACATATAGGATAGCCAAATCTAGGGAAAGAAAGTGGACTGCTCAGGAAAGAGGAGAGGTAAATGTAGAGAGATTTACTTTAAAGATTAAAGAGACTTAAATTGTAGGGATGGCCACAAAAGTTTGAGAAAATAGAAGGAACTATCAATATTTTCCTTTTCAGTAGGCTTATTTTATGGTATGTGATTTGTATTTTGGTAAAGCTGCCTACTACATAAAGCTTAATGTAACTTAAGAAAGGAATACATTGAGGTGAAAAATACTTAGTCCTGGCTAGCTTGATTGCACATGTCTTTAATTCCAGTACTAGGAAGGCAGAGGCAGGCATTCTCTGAGTTGAGGCCAGACTGGTCTAAACAGTGAATTAATTCTAAGACACCCAGAGTTACAGAGAGAAACCCTGTTTCAAAAACAAAGAAAAAAAAATAAAAAGACATTTAGTCCAATGGCTCAAGAAATCAGATATCTTAGACTCCTTACCAGTTCTGATCCCCACTCCTCATGACAGAAGATGCTAAACACAACTTCTCTCGGATGGACCATGGCTCTGTTGGGCCAGTACTCAGCAGCTTGTGCTCTGGAAATAAAGAAGGCTCAGAAACAACCTCTGAGCTAGTTCTAAGCCCCAGAACAGCTAAAAGCCTGATATAAAATAACACCCCAGGCAGACTGTGGAGTAGTAATCCTGGTTCTCAGGAAGCAGAGGCAGGCAGATTTCTTTGAGACTAGTAATGGTTTGCATAACGAGTTCTAGGCCAGTCAGAATCAGTCACACGATAGAAGCCTGTCTCAAAATAAATACATTTCAAACTTGTTTAAACAATATGAACCACTACCATCAATTATTATCACCAAATCTTGACTTTTCACCATTCCAATGAAATATCACCATTATTGGCCAAGGTTCTTTTATTGAACACACATTTATAGAACATTTTATTTAATAAGCCTTTTGCCAAGGCTTCAAGGTGGTCTGCTTCCAAAAAAAAAAAAACCAAACCAAAACAAACAAACAAAACTAGCAGTGTTACATTAAAAAAAGGTTATAAGGTTCTCTTTAAAAACCAGTTTTAAAACTTCCAGTTTGAACTCAGGTTTATTTCCCAAAATTCCATCGGCCACCGGTTTCTACTGCCCACCTCCTTTGCACGAAGTTGTTTACATTTCAGCCCCTCCCCCCTCAACTGTCGGGTATAAACCAGTTCCATCGGTGAAACTGAAAAATGTCTGAAATACACGAAACGCATTTTCCCCAGTGGCAGAAAACGCCTAGAGTTAACAGATATCATTTCCAGTGCTTTTCACAGCTTGGTTAAATAAACGACTGAGTCGCTGGCCACTTCATACTGCCTTTATGTTTTACCCTAGATAGCGCCTAGCACACAAAGGCTTCCTGGGCTGCTTCGCACCAGCCTGTTTCCTCCCAACACTGTTAAACCCCAGGAGGTGGTCCTGAAAGCGGCATGAAAGGCAGATCTCTGAACTTTGCGCTCTCTTACAACCCACTCCTCCCACTCCTTTCATGCCTGAGAAGTGGGATGCCTAGTCTCGACTCTACAAAAGCCTTGAACCATAAAAGCGACTCTGATACTCACTGCCTGTCCCGGTCGCCATTTTGATTCGACGTCTTCTACGCTTGCGACAGACGTGGGGAACTCTGGGAAATACTGTATGAATCCGTTCGCGGTGCCTTGTGGGTAATGTGGGTCAGTTTGCCCTACTAGAAGCGAAGTCCCTCTAGGAAAAGTTTTCTTTTTAACTAATAAAAGACAAGGGATCGCAACTGAAGCCTCCGAAAAGAAACGTCTAGGTTTAGAATTAAGTGAGACGAATCCCATAACGAGTAACTTGAAAATGACAGTTGGTAACCCGGACCCACATTTTTAAAAAAAAAACGGTCTTCCGGTCGGCTCTGCCTCTTCCCTTTTGCTGATTGGTTCCTTCAGGTTTCGCTTTCTGATTGGCCGGAGAAGCTCAGCGCGCAATTTAAAACATTGTATGGGGGAACAAAGCTGTTCCTCGTGGGCGGAGTTGTGCTCTCTGGTAGCAGGAATCTTGGTTCGCCCCTGGGTAGAAGCTGGGATTAGAGAAGCAGCGAGGCAGACTGTCTTCGGGTGAGTGCAACTGGGCTGGAACTCCGGTTATCAGCTGTTTCTTGCGTGTCATAGTCCTCAGAAGGTTCCAGTGTTTTCCATAATACCCGAGTTCTCGTGGTCTTTGGAGTGAGGTTGGAAAAGTACCTTTGGGATCCTGAAACACTTACACTGGCGGGCCTGTAGACAGCCTACGTGGAGCATGGCCTTCTGTTCTGCTTTTAGAGCCAGATATCTCTCCGTGCCTATTTACCTACAGAAATGGAATTTCGGGCTGTATTAGTTGTTCTCATTCCCTTCACCTTGGCTGATAATGGTATATAGGTGTATAGTTTCGACCCAGTGTCCAAAGTAAGGACATCTCCCTTACCAAGGGACTGTTTTTAACCTACAGGTTTGCAGTTTTTGTGCGATAATATTCTACCCATCTACTCTTGTCTCTTTTTAGACATACACTGACTGCCTGTCATGTCTCACGGGATACTTTCTCCGCCGGCGGGCTTACTCTCTGATGAGGATGTTGTAGACTCTCCCGTGTTAGAATCTACAGCTGCAGATCTGAGGTCTGTGGTCCGAAAGGACCTGTTGTCAGACTGCTCTGTCATCTCCGCCTCTCTGGAGGACAAACAGGTAAAGGAGTTGAGTGGCTTAGGGGCAGAAAGTGCTATCTTCAGCTTCACAGTTATTTATACAAGGTAGTATGACATCAAAGGCCAGTGATACTGAAGAAATGAGATCAGTTAAAAATTAAGGACATACTTTTAATCCCAGCACTTGGGAGGCAGAAATAGCAGATCTCTGATTTAAAGGCCAGCCTGATTTACCAAGTGAATCCCAGGACAGCCAAGACTACACAGAGAAACCATATCTTGAAAAACCAATACAAAAAATAGGGTAAAACAAATGAAAAAGTCTGTACCTATAAGAATACTATTGGCATTATATTCATGAAATATCTCAGTTGCAATTGCACCATGCTTTCAGTTGGGGAAAATATTTCTCTAGTATCCAGGCTATTAAGGATGGAGGATGTGGGAGTGCATGTTTAGTATGTTTAGGTTCACATAGCGCACCACATACAATTATTTGCAGAGAATCGTGGTGGCCTGAAGTAGGTAGAATGGAATTCTTGCTTCATTCATAATCGTAGCTGCCATTGCTTTAGTCTTTCTTTTGCAAGGCCAAAGATTCTCAGTTATAGCACTGTTGATGTTTGGAGCTAGACCTTTTTTGGAGGGGCTGCCCTTATGCTTGGCAAGATGTTTAGTAGGGTTAAGGGCCTCTGTCCACTAGATGCAGTGCATTTTTACTATTTATTTTATTTTATTTATTTATTTTATTATTATTATTATTATTGGTTTTTCAAGACAGGGTTTCTCTGTGTAGTTCTGGCTGTCCTCAAACTCACTCTGTAGACCAGGCTGGCCTCGAACTCAGAAATCCACCTGCCTCTGCCTGCCGAGTGCTGGGATTAAAGGCGTGTGCCACCACCGCCCGGCTCATTTTTACTATTTAGACTGGGAATACAGAGACAGTCTCTAAATATCTGCTGAATAAATGGAGTGGTTACTATTTAACTTCATTCTTCAAGTCACTCAGAACTTGTTCATGGTCTCCTAACTACTAAATGATGAAATGCATATCTATTGTTATTTATTATTATTATTTGTACATATGATAGGGGACATCTTACTCAATTTTCATTACTGTGCTTTGGAAAAAAAATTGTATTTATCAGAATTGGAAAGATGGCTCAGGGCCAAGAGCCCCTCCTGTTCTTTCAGATGACCCAGCTTAGCTTCACAGCACCAATGCTGGATGGCTCACAACTGCCTGTAACTCCAGACTCCAGTGGATTTAACACCTTCATAAACAGAAACAAACAAAAATTATTTGAGATAGTATTTGTAGTCAAGGCTGGTTTTGAGTTTCTGCTCCCCCTATCTACTGGGTGTTGAGGTTACAAGCACACACCACCATACCTGGTCTGTGGTGATTTTCAAACAACCCATTCTAACTCAGCTCACTGATACAGCAAGCCAGGACTGCAGGGCAGTGTTGAACTGGGAAGGGTAACAAAGTTCATGTGAGCGAGAATGAGTGTGGAACCAAAGAAGAGCTGCACAGGACCACTTTACACAGAATGAAGGAGTGATAGCATGCTTCCTAGGATCTAGGCTGTTTGTCCTGGTTACAGGTTAACTCTGGAATCTGTTACAGGCTCCATTGGAGGACACTGCAGAAAAGATGAAAGTTTACCTTCGAATCAGACCATTCTTAACTTCTGAGTTGGACCGACAGGAAGATCAGGTAGGATTTAAGGTGGATTGTTGTAGCACGAAGGAGGCTCCCCAGGAATGCTGCTTTACTCTATCAGTGTCTGCTTTCTACCTTCTCAGGGCTGTGTCTGTATTGAGAATACAGAAACCCTCCTGCTACAGGCACCCAAAGACTCCTTTGCCTTGAAGAGTAATGAGAGGGGAATTGGTCAGGCCACTCACAAATTCACCTTTTCCCAGGTATGCAATTCTGATGTATGAACAAAGTCCTAACATTTAGGGGGAAATTTATTTCTACCTTAGATTTCTGAGTGCGAGTTCTTTACATGTGTGTATCTATAATTTCAAGAACTTTTTATGTGCAAGTCAATGTGTCGGATAGTTTTATGCACATGAACTACCACTGATGTGACTACTATCACTCTTCTTCTCCCTGATAAGAATACTATGGCACATATTACAGTGGCGGTGATTTTCTGAAGCTATAGAGCTAGTTAGTGGTAAAGACAGAACTGGGATTTGGATCTACCATCTCCAAACCCATGCTTACAACCCCGTGTGTGTGCACAGGTACTTACAGCATTCCTTAACTATTTAATTTGGATGAACTGTACTAGCAGGGGGTGATGGGAGTCTTTATTAGACACAACTGGAATCCATCAGGAAAACCTGCTTGTGAGCTGTGTCCAGAGGAGGGTTATATCTACTAGTCCTGCCCAGGAGACAGATGGCAGATGCAATGTGGCCTCTGAGAAATGGGTCTGTTTCTAGATATTTGGGCCAGAAGTGGGACAGGTGTCCTTCTTCAACCTGACCATGAAGGAGATGGTGAAAGATGTACTCAAAGGGCAGAACTGGCTCATATACACCTATGGAGTCACCAACTCGGGGAAAACCTACACAATTCAAGGTTAGTAGTAAGCTGCAGCAGGATCGCCAACTGGCATTGTAAGGTTGTCTTTCCTTTTGATGCCTTGAGTAAAAGATCTTATTGTTAATATTGTTCCAGGTACTAGTAAGGATGCAGGGATCCTGCCCCAGTCCCTGGCTCTCATCTTTAATAGTCTCCAAGGACAACTTCATCCAACACCTGATCTGAAGCCCTTGTTGTCCAATGAGGTAATCTGGCTAGACAGCAAGCAGATTCGACAGGAGGAAATAAAGAAGCTATCCTTGCTAATTGGAGGCCTCCAAGAGGTGAAGTGCTCATGAAGTTGGGATAAATAGTACAGATTTTAGAAAAGATTGGTGCTTATCTTCTCTCTATGCCCCTTCAGGAGGAGCTGTCTACCTCTTTGAAGAAACGTGTCCACACTGAAAGTCGGATAGGTGCCAGCAACAGCTTTGACAGCGGTGTTGCTGGGCTGTCTTCCACCAGTCAGTTCACCAGCAGTAGCCAGCTAGATGGTATGTACCATGAGCGAGCTCTATGAGTGGGCAGTTGGGGGGGTGGAGGTGGAGGGGTGATGGGGGAAAAGACCCCACTCCCTATTTATTCCCAACAGCTATAAGAAGTATAGTTCAGAGACTGCAACTGGAACTTCATTCCAAGTTCCTATAGATCAAAGTTAGATGGAATGTTCCATGCATGGTTAATGATGGACGTGTACATTTTGGGTTTTCTCACAGAAACAAGTCAGTTATGGGCACAGCCAGACACTGTCCCAGTAAGTGTTCCAGAAGACATTCGCTTCTCTGTGTGGGTCTCCTTCTTTGAGATCTACAATGAATTGCTTTATGACCTGCTAGAACCACCTAGCCATCAGCATAAGAGACAGACACTGCGGCTGTGTGAGGATCAGAACGGCAATCCTTACGTGAAAGGTATGCAAAGGTAGAGGAGGCTGGTAGGAAACTTGGAGGGATGTGGGGAAATTAGAAGAGGTCCAAGTGTTCCCACCTTACTCTCTGACTCCAGACCTCAATTGGATTCATGTTCGTGATGTTGAAGAAGCCTGGAAACTTTTGAAAGTGGGTCGTAAGAACCAGAGCTTTGCCAGCACCCACATGAACCAACACTCTAGCCGCAGGTAAGTTGTGAGAACTGACTCTATGTCTAGAAAGCTTTAGCCTTCTACCTGAACATAGAATATATAGAGTAATTTTTTTCCCTTTTCCTTTTCAGTCACAGCATCTTCTCCATCAGAATCTTGCACCTTCAGGGAGAAGGGGATATAGTGCCCAAGATCAGTGAGTAAGTTTTCCCACTTAGAAACGTGATCATCTTGGCCATGTGGTTATGGGCGCAGAAGGGAACTTCTCAAAGGAATTTGCTCTTTTCCTTCTTTTGATACAAACAACTTGATAGGCCCTTCCCCTAGAGGAATTATATAATAAACTATGAGTCCCTTATATTAGCTCCTGTGCTTTACTCCAGACTGTCACTCTGTGATCTGGCTGGCTCAGAGCGCTGCAAACATCAAAAAAGTGGTGAGCGGCTAAAGGAGGCAGGAAACATTAACACCTCTCTGCATACCCTGGGCCGCTGTATTGCTGCCCTGCGACAGAATCAACAGAACCGGTAAGCTGTAGGCTGGGGTGGCCTGGGCTGGCCATTTGCTCAGTTCCAGGTCAGCACTGAGGGTGGTGCCTGGATACACACACACACACCCCTCTGCCAATGACTGTGGTTATATTCACAATGCTATTTATCTGATTCTGTGCAAGGTCCAAGCAGAACCTGATTCCTTTCCGTGACAGCAAGTTGACTCGTGTGTTCCAAGGCTTCTTCACAGGGCGAGGTCGCTCCTGTATGATTGTCAATGTGAACCCCTGTGCGTCTACTTACGACGAGACTCTTCATGCAGCCAAATTCTCAGCCCTGGCCAGCCAGGTGAGACACTGTACACACGACTGCATTTTCTTTGGACTAGCAATTTTTTTTTTGTTTTTAGTCAGTGTTTCACTGTGTAATCCTGGCTGTCCTAGAACTGTTAAACCAGGCTGAGACCCACCCGCCTCTCCATCCACAGTGCTGGGGATTAAAGGCATGGGTCACAACCACCCAGCAGGACTGGCGATCTTCAAATAGCTCTTGGGTATTAAGAAATCAATTAAGATTTTTCTCCCTCCTCTAGCTTGTGCATGCCCCACCTGTGCACCTCGGAATCCCATCCCTGCATTCATTCATCAAGGAGCACAGTCTTCAGGTGTCCCCTGGCTTAAAGAAAGAGGGCAAAGTGGACTCAGAACTTGAGGACAGTCCTGAAGACGAGGCTGACATCTCCATGTATGGCAAGGAGGTAAGGATACCGGGCAGCTCTAGCGTAGCAGCTTGATGGCTGCACATTCCCACGAGGTGTCCAGGTGGATTTGGGCCTCTGTAAAGAGTGCAAGAGGCCTAACAGATGCCGTCTTCTAGGAGCTACTACAGGTCGTGGAAGCCATGAAAGCACTACTCTTAAAAGAACGACAAGAAAAGCTGCAGCTGGAGATACAGCTCCGGGAGGAAATTTGCAACGAGATGGTGGAACAGATGCAGCAACGGGAGCAGTGGTGCAGGTACCACTGGGTGGCTTCGTAGCCCAGGCCCCTGTGACAGGGACAGCAAAGGGTGTGTAGGCTCTGCTCCCCAGCCTCATTCCTCAGGATCCTCACTACCCTTTTCTGACAGTGAGCGTTTGGACACTCAAAAGGAACTGTTGGAGGAACTGTACGAGGAGAAGCTAACGATCCTGAAGGAATCACTGACAACTTTCTACCAAGAACAGATTCAGGTGCGTTTGCCCCCAACCAGTCTCAATAACCTCTCGGGCTTTCATCGCTTGGGGGCTGAGACAAACAAATCTATTATTTTTACTTTGTTTGGTTGGCTTGGTTTTTCAAGACAGTTTGGCTGTCCTGGAACTCACTCTTTAGACCAGGCTGGCCTTAAACTCAGAGATCCACCTGCCTTTGCCTCCCAAGTGCTTGGGACTAAAGGTACACACCACCGCTACCACCGCAATTGCCAGCATCTTACGGATTTCTGAGATAGGGTCTCACTCAAAATTGTTGCTCTGGCCAGCCTCAAACTCCTATGTAGACCAGGCTGACATCAAAATAAGTTTTATAAACTCTAGGAAGAACAGTAATATATAATATGATTAATTTTTATTAATTTCCCTTAGTGTCTTGCAGCTATTGAGTTTAAATTCAGGGATGAGTTCACCATGAAAGTGTGCTATAGGCTAATGTTAGCTTAAATGTTAAGACTGTTTTGTTAGTCTGGTCCTTTGGTATTTGTCTGACCCTGGACAGAATTGTGCTCTCTGTTTCCCTTTTAGGAGCGAGATGGAAAAATTGAAGAGCTAGAAACTCTCTTGCAGGAAGCCAAACAGCAGCCAGTGGCACAACAGTCAGGGGGGTGTGAATTGTCCCTCCGTCGGTCACAAAGGTTGGCAGCTTCTGCCTCCACTCAGCAGTTCCAGGAAGTTAAAGCTGAACTAGAGCAATGCAAAACAGAGTTAAGCTCTACCACTGAAGGTGAGGAAGGAAGGCAGGAAGCCTGACAGTGGAAGTGGATGAGGGAGAGCTGGCACTCAAACTCTGTCCTGACCCCATCGCTTACCCATGCACTACACGTTAACTACGTACTCTGTGTTTCCTCTCAGAGCTACAGAAGTATCAGCAAATGTTAAAACCACCACCCACAGCCAAGCCTTTCATCATTGATGTGGATAAGAAGTTAGAGGAGGGCCAGAAGGTATTTAACATTAATCTGTTTCAAAGCCCTTTATCGGGGCTTTGAAAATACGGTGGGTTTTTTGTTTTGTTTTTGTGCCAAGAGTCCTGAGGAATGAAAGCCAGTCCATTTTTGCTTATTTATTTATTTGTATGTATGTAGTGTTGTGGAAGACAGTAGAATGGTTCTCTCTACCATATGGGTTCCTACATTTAACTCAAGCTTGATAAGTGCCCTCACCAGCCTCCAGCCTTCCTAAGTCTGTCTTCAGGTGGTTGCTGTGGTTGATTTTGGCCACAATCTGGTTCCTATTCTTTCAGAATATAAGGCTGCTACGGGCAGAGCTCCGGGAACTAGGGCAATCTCTACAGTCGGCAGAAAGAGCCTGTTGCCACAGCACCGAAGCAGGGAAACTTCGTCAAGCATTAACCAACTGCGATGACATTTTAATCAAACAGGTGAGGGCAACCTAGTGACCCTGTGAGGGGGAAACTGAGAAGAAAAAGATGTAACAGCGGAAAAAAAATAAAGCTAATGTCATAAAGCCTGGGGCTTTCTGTATGCTAAATGGGCACTATGCCACTAAGCTATGGCTATAGCATTTCTCATTAGCTCCAGATGCACCATTTTAAGACACCAGATGTCTTAAAATGATCAATAAAAATGTATGCAAAACATGGCACTTGATACCTAATAATTATGTTTCTCTAACTTTAATTCTTAGAACCAGACCCTGGCTGAGCTGCAGAACAACATGATGCTGGTGAGACTGGACCTTCAGAAGAAGGCAGCCTGCATCGCTGAGCAGTACCACACGGTGCTGAAGCTCCAAGGCCAAGCTTCTGCCAAAAAGCGGCTGGGAGCAAACCAGGAAAACCAGCAGCCAAATCATCAACCCCCAGGAAAGAAACCATTCCTGCGAAACTTACTTCCCCGAACACCTACCTGCCAAAGCTCAACAGACAGCGGCCCTTATGCACGGATCTTGCGCTCACGGCACTCTCCTTTACTCAAATCTCCCTTTGGCAAAAAATACTAACGTTGTGGGGATGAAGATGCATGTGTTTCCCTGAGGCTGGTCAGCTGCTTAGCTGATAAGTCTCTTTGTAAGCTTCAGCATATACCCAGAACTGTATTCAGAATTACTGTATTATAATCACTTATTATAATCTTGAGTTTTTTCATGCACAAATATTATATGAAATAAAGACATTGTTTATGCTTTTATTTGGATTCCAAATTTAGAAAAATATAAAAAGGGGGACAGAAAATTGATATAAATACCATCTGGCCTGTTGAACCCTTGGACAGGGACAGCAGTGGGAACCAGCCAGCCTAATGCATATTAGGAAACGAGTTCAGTGCTGGATATCCAAAGGGCTTGGATAGCTCAGTCAAAACATCCATCTGCCTTACGCTGGGATTAAAGACATGCACCACCGCACCCAGCTCATGTTCCTTCCATTAAAAGGGATATAAAATGTTCTGAGTACAAGAGGAAGGCTAGATCCAAAACACATAGTATCAAGGGTATCTAAAACCTATAAAAACAGGATGATTCCTTCAGATAAGGTTGAAAAACCAAGTATTTTTTTTGGAGAGTTAAAAAAAAATATCAAAAGTTCCTTTCAAAAATGTCCATGGAGTTGTCTCCATGTGTGGCTCTCATCAGGTATCTATAGTTAATGCTGTCGCCATCCGGCCCTCAATGTGAGCCACAGCTGATGCTCACTGAGACTCTCACTTGGAAGGCTTTTAGAAGGCTTCTTTTAAAAACTCTCCACAAGATCATATGGAGAGCTCCACTCTATTTAAACCTAATCTCTGACTCTCAGTAAAATAAAGGTCATTCTAGCCAGGCCTCATGGCATACGCCTGTAATCCTATCACTAGGGAGGTAAGGCAGAAAGGCCCCAGGCTAGGCTACACAGAGAAACACTGTCTTAGAGAAAGTCATTGTTCAAAGATGACCTCCCTGCTTGTAGAGGACAAGCATGAGAATCTCCTTTGCTTACCCCACTCAGCAGCACTGACCCTTTAGAGGAAGTGGAGAGACTAGGAAGGCCAAGACTGGCCATTCTGAATATTAGGGAACATTGCTGGCTGGCACAAGACGGTCTGTCCCCCGCCATACTTCTGCCTGCCTCTGAAGGTGGTTCCATAGGCTGTCCCTCAGGCTGTTTCTGTCTAGATAACAAGAAGAGCTTACTTAGGTCCTTGGAAACAGATGTGGTGTTCTTTACTGGAGGTAAGGTTTAATCTTGGTCTAGCAATGTGCTGACGTGAGAGTAGTCAACTACGGTGTGACTGAAGACAGGTTGAGTGGAGAAACTCTGCGTGTGGGAGTGTTGTTTGCAGACAGTGAGGCAGGGAGGAAAAAGGTACCAGGCGTGTCAGAGGTGGGTGTCTCCCCTTGGTTCCTCAGCTGTAGGATCTGGCGGAGCAAGGCCTTACCTTCTTCCCGGGTCTGAAACAAAGTCACAGCTGTTTCAAAATATATTCAGTGCTAGTCTCAAAAAAATGATTATTAAAATACTGTTCAGATCATTCCTTACAAATAAAAGGAGTTCTGCCCCTTTTTCAGAAGGTACTGTTCGACAGATGACTTCCACAGGTCAAAGTAAGCTTCCCTACACACCATGGAGAAGACCTAAAACATACACCCTAAGATCTAATACTCACGTCATTGAATGCACAGCACTTTTGGGCACAAGTTGAAGCTTCATCCCACAGCTTGCACTTAAAGTAGTACTGGGCCAGGTAGCGGAAGGCCGTGCTCTCCTCCAAGTGCTCCACTGTCTCCTAGATAAGGGAAGCAGGCGTCACTGAGGTGACAAGGACCCGTTGGTGACACGGCTCTCATGCTCTGACACATACCCCACAGGAATAGATATCTTGGATATATTTGATGTAACACTGGGCAGCCTGCTCTGACTCAGTCAACTGTTCATGAAGCCTACAAAAGAAATTGAGCTTTAAATAAGTCAGGCCACAAAGCAAGTTAGAAATTAAAAAAAAAGATGTAATTAAAATCAGAAATGAGAGGTAAACAAGTACATTTTAACATAAATAACACATTGAGTCCCAAAAGACTATCAGTGCCCACCAAGTATAGGAGCTGAATTTAATAACACATGCCTTTAAGGCTGAGTTTGAGGCCAATCTGGTCTACAGAGTGAGTTCCAGAATAGCCATGGCTATAGAAAGAAACTCTTTCTTGAAGAACTTAGCTTTCCTTGGCAGAGGACTGGCCACTGCAAGTTGACTAGGCTCCAGTGAGAATATGAATAACAGAAAATAGACTTTGGGGTTTTTTTTTGGTGGGGGTATCATAGGGAGGGAGGACAGACATGGGAGGACTGAGTAGTGAATGCAATTGGGATGCATGATGTGAGATTCCCAAAAATCAATTTAAAAAAAAGTGACAGGTGTCTTAACCAGGGCTACAGAGTAAGAACTTGTCTCAAAACAAAACAAAACAAACAAACCCAAAAAAACCACCAACAACAAATTAGTTATTAAGGGCTGGTGAGGCAGCCCTTATCAACAGATAAAGGCACTTGAAGAGAAGCCTATTAGAAGCATTCAATTCCCAGGACATAGTGGGAGGAGTGAACTGACTCCCACACACATGCACACACACACACATGCACACACACACACACACAATTTAAAAAATGTTTATAAAAAAGTAGTTAACTTAAACTGGACAGTTAGATAATATACCCTTGCAAAAATTTCCTGTTAATACCAGTGAGAATGAGAACTTTACCAAATGACTGACTACTTCCGGGCAGTCCTCCCATGCACACAGGCAAGTCCTCAACCACTGAACCACACTGCTAGTCTAGTCCTGTCTTTTTTAATTCATTTTTCATCTCTTGCCTAATAGAAAATCTATTTCCAATTCAAGGTGAAGTGGCACTCTCTATAGTCAAGAGCCTAGGGCTACACTATAACTCCATATCTAGCATGGGTAAGACCCTGGGTTTGTCTACAACATGGGAGAGAAAAAAGAAAAGCAAGCCAACCCAGCATCTCCACACCCCCTCCATGCGCAGACTCGTATGTGATCACGGCCTCAGGAAAACAGGCCTAAGGATCCCAAGCATTCACTCACTTGGCCAGCTTCACCAGAGCCATTTTCTCCACATCTCCCACAGCATATGCTCTCCAATAACACTGTCAAAGAGTAAATAGAGCACTTCAGACGACTGCTCATGTGCAACAATTCACCACATTAGTGCTAAGGCCATGCGAGCCTTCTAGAAATTCAGGCTTGCAGAAGGCGAGCTTTTTTCCTAATGGTAATAGTTCCAGGCTACATACAGATATCCATACTGATAATTTCAACCTACATTTCTTTTTATACTCTGTAGCTACAAAATATTCATTTTTCCATACACATAGATCAGAATACAGAAAAGAAACAAACAATAACAACAAAACAAACAAAACCACAGTATATACACCCACGACCCCTTTAAACAGCAGGTTTCTGCTCACATTCGCTAGGCTGTAAGTTAAGGTACCTTTTTGGCTTCCACTAGTTGGTTGAGTTTCTCATAACATTCTCCTAAGGCAACCAGCATTCGAGAATCATTGGGACTATGAAAAAGAATAACATTGTCAGAGCAAAGATTTACTAATACCTCAAGTCTTCAACTCAAAGATTGGTCCCTACTATTTCCATGCTATTCCAAATCTATGAAAGGACTGCTCTTCAACAAAACGTCTCATTTAATTACTTTATGTTTATAATTATCCTATAAACCCACTAGTAAAGATGACCAAACCATACCCTTTAGGTCTGAGAGAGAGAGAGATGGTATCCTATCAACCCTTCCCACATTGTCCAGTAACCAACTTACCGAAGCTGGTGGGCCCGTCTATAGTAATAAAGACAATAAAATGGCATCTTGAGGATTTCGTAGGTCTGCCCAAGGCCATACCAAGCTCTGTAGTCTCTCTTGTTGACCTCAATGGCATGTCTAAGAAACAGACAGAGCAGGCCAGTTACATGGCAAAAGAATTCAAGTTAGCAACACAGAGACTACTAACAAGAGGGCCCCACCACCGTGGGGATCAGATCCACTCACCCCTGCCCACCCTACTGGATGCTCACCGGTAAGCCTGAATAGCCGCAGACGTGTTTTTCATTTCCATGTACTCATGCCCCATCAGTGTCCAGGCGCCAAGGTACCGAGGATTCAACTTTAGCGCTCTCTGGAAATACAAAGCTGCTTTCTCATGCTGGGAGCGTAAGCTATAATAATTACCTGATTAAAAAAAAAACAAAATAAAACAAGATGATCCCTAGTCTGTCTGTTTGTCTGTCTGCCTCCCCCCACCCCCTCAAACGGGCTGGAGAATGGCTCAGTGGTTTTAATATTGGCTGCTTTTCCAAAGGATCCAGGTTCAGTTCCCAGCACCAACATGGCAGCTGGCAACCCCTGTACCCAGTGCCAGGAGATCTGACCTACTCTTCTGACCTCTTTTTGTACTAGTACATGCATATATTCATACAGGCAAAAACTAATAAACATAAAATAAACAAATATTTAAATAAGCATAAAAAATTTAAAAACTGTTCCTTTCATTTCTTTATTTCATTAGGATAACAGTTTCTTGGTTTTTTTTGTTTTTTTCTTTTGTTCATTTTTGTTTTTTTGTTTTGTTTTGTTTTTTCAAGACAGGGTTTCTCTGTGTAGCCCTGGCTGTCCTGGAACTCACTCTGTAGACCAGGCTGGCCTCGAACTCAGAAATCTGCCTGCCTCTGCCTCCCAAGTGCTGGGATTAAAGGCGTGCACCACCACCGCTGGGCTTGTTTCATTTTTTAAGACAGGGTTTCAATGTATAGCCTTGGCTGTCCTTAAATTCACAGAGATCCACCAGCCTCTGCCTCCCAAGTACTGGGATTAAAGGCATGGGCTACCATCATCTGGCTAGATAAAACATTTATATACATTTTTGTAACATAATAATTTTCTAAGCGTGCTTTAGATTGATAATTTTTGTTTATTGATTTTATTTTTTGATTTTTCAAAGACAGTGTTTCTATGTAGCCCTGACTGTCCTGAAACTCATTTTATAGACAAAGCTGGCCTCCAACTCACAGAGATCAGCCTACCTCTGCCTTCCAAGAGCTGGAATTAAAGACAGGTGCCACCACACCCAACCTGATTTTTGTTTAGATTAGTGGTTCTAAACTATACTGTTTTAAACCTAGACTTAAAAGGCATTTCTCAAAAGGACTGCAGTAGAGCTCTGAGTTTCCTCCCTGCATGTCTATACTACTGTTTGTGAAAAGACAATGATTTAGGAAGTTGTACAAGATATTCCAAGTATAAAAGGTATCTGTCTTACTGAGTCATAAATGAATAAGCAAAATATGGTAGACCAAACAATGGGACATAATCCGGGAAAAACAAAAACAAAACAAAACAAAACAAAACAAATTACTTTAGATGCTACAACACTCATGGTCTGAAAAGTATGCTGGCCAAAGGGGTGGAGAATGCCTTAAATCCCAGCATTTTAGAGGAAATGGCAGGCAGGTCTGTACAGCAAGTTCTAGGCAGCCAGGGGAAAAAAAAAAAAAAAAAAGAGAGAGAGAAAGAGAGAGAGCCGGGAGAGTGGTGGCGCATGCCTTTAATCCCAGCACTTGGGAGGCAGAGGCAGGCGGATTACTGAGTTCGAGGCCAGCCTGGTCTACAGAGTGAGTTCCAGGACAGCCAGGGCTACACAGAAAAACCCTGTCTTGAAAAATAAAAAAAAAAAAAAAGAGAGAGAGAGAAAGAGAGAGAGAGAGACAGGAAGGAAGGAAGGAAGGAAGGAAGGAAGGAAGGAAGGAAGGAAGGAAGTTAATTCGCTATCTAAAAGAAGTCAGACAACAATATTTTTGCTGGTAGATTCCAACTATGATGTTTCTTTTAATGATGAACTTAAAACAAGTAAGTCCTGTGGTTTTGCTAACTGTTCCAATAAAGCTTTTCTCAGCCAGGCATGGTGGCACACTCCTTTAGTCCAGCACTCCAGAGGCAGAGGCAGCCATATCTCTGTGAGTTCAAGGTCAATGTGGTCTACAGAATGGCTTTTTTCAGGGCAACCAGGGATACAAAGAGAAACTCTGTCTTCAAAAAAACCAAGTACCCCCCCAAAAGAACCAACTAGACTGTTAATGAAACTTGAAGGGGTTTTCTTTGAAAACAAACAACCTGTATTTACTTTTTAATTCATCTGTGCTAAAGAATGACTCCAGTACCAAGGCAAGCACTCCACCATTGAACCAAATCCCAGCCCCAACCTAGGTTATAGCTGAGACCTCACCTCAAAAAACAAAATATTTCCCTTACGTATAAATTATATGTACACAAATAAGCCAGCCAAAACACAGAGGGCTCAGTATGTATTATATTAACTTGCAGAAAACTCGAGATATTATTAAGTAAAATAATGAAAATCTGAAGAAGTTACATAAAGGAGTTCATTTTGGTAAGCCAAAGAAAAAAACTCTCCGTATGTTTTTAAAATAATTTTAGTTTGTTTTATTAGAAATCAACTTTATTCACTGTTTATACTCTATATCTGATCATTTAAGCATGTTTACCTAGAAGAAAGCAGTAGGGTTTTATTCCCATTATAGCCATATCTTTAATACCAGTACTCAGGAGGCAGAGCAGGTCTAATAGTTCTAGGCAGCCTGACCTTTAGTCAGTCCCAGGGCAGCCAGGGCTCTGTAGATAACCTGGCTTAAAAAAAAAAAAAAAAAAAAAAAAAGGAATTCACCTGCAATCTCAGTACTGGAGAGGTAATCAGGAGATTAAGAAATTCAAAGTCATCCTTAGCTACACAGTGAATAACTATTAGAAAGATTCTCCCTCAAAGGTGTGGGGGGTAGCACATGCTTATAATCTTGGCATTTAGGAAGTGATGGGAGAATCAGCAGTTCAAGGCCATCCTCTACAGGTTACATGCCAAGCTGAGGCTACATGAAGCTGAGACAACTGTCTCAAAACAAAACAAACAGCAAGCAAAACAGAGAGAGAGAAGAGAGAAGAGAGAAGAGAGAAGAGAGAGAGGTGCCTCTGCAGCTAGGAGTGTATGCTGATTTTGCAAGAGACCCAAGTTTGTTTTTTAGTACCTAGTACCTATGTCATGAGGCTCACAACTGCTGTTAACTCCAACTCCCTCCAGAGGGATCTGCTAGACACTCATCAAAGAACCTCTAAGATAGGTCTGGAGTAATAATAGCTCACCAGATCAGAGCAGAGGCTACTGTTTCAAAGGACCTGGGTTCAATTCCCAGCACCCACATGGCTGTTCACAACCACCAGTTCCAAGGTGCCAACCCTTTTCCCCTCTGGCCTCCATGGATACCAGGCATATCATGGAAGTAAAGCATCTTTACATGTAAATAAAATTTAAAATTAGAAAAAAAAACAAAAACAAAACTCTTTTAGGCCAGTCTATATAAATGGTTGTACTTAGTTCAGCAATCTGTTACTGTCTCAAAAACAAAACAAAAAACAACAAGGTAAAGTCAAGTCTGGCAGCTCTGTCTTGCCTTTAATCCCAACATCCAAGAGGCAAATGCATGCTATCTCTGTGCGTTCAAGGCCAGCCTGATCTATACAGCAAGTTCTAGAACTATATATAATGAGACACTGTCATAAAATAAAATAAAGATAGAGATAGAGCTTAAAAAAAATAAAATAGTGAATTCTCACCGATTACACAGCACGTTTCTACTCGGTACTTATCAATTTCACAGAGGTTATGCGCCAGGTAACTCAATTCAGATTTCATGCTCTGAGAGAAAAGAGGAGGACCACGTGAGCTTGAGAAAGCACCCTGAAGCTGCTGCTTCTTTAGCTAGTGCAAACATGATTATCTAATATGGAGTTTCATCAAGAGAAACAAATTACCCTGACATAGAGAAGGTTGGAGAATGTGTCCATATTTTCAATCCTGTAAGGGTCTTGTTTCCTCAGCTCATTGAAAATAGAAAGGGCTTTGTCGATATCTGCCGAAAGAAAGCAGAGTCTAAACCCAACTACCTGCACCTCTGCCAGTCAGCATGCACTGTCCCTATGCACCACTCACCTCTGATATTGTGATAGGCAACTGCAATTTGGGAAACAATGTACGAGCTCTTGGAAAAGCCCACATCAATGAGATGCTGATACTTCTGCAGGGCCTCCTCTATCAGCTGCAATTCTGTGTATATATGAGCCAAGAAGAACTCTTTCATCCAGGTGTCGGGCAAAGACAGGAACTTCAGCTGGCACCAGGAGAGAGGGAAACACTTACTATAATCTGGCCTTTCATCCAAAAGAACACCAAAGAAAAATCATTACTTTCTAAAAGGATTCATCACTAAAACTTTATTAGAACACCTACAAATAAATACAGGATAATCCCACTTAAGTTTGACTCACAAGCATAATTAGGAGAGAATGGCCGAGTGGGATAGACTTCAAAAAAAGACCCACAAAACAAACAAACAAACAAGCAAAACACACAAAACTTGAGAATAATTAGGATCTAAATAGGAAAAGAGAAAAAAGAAAGCCTTCTAGGTAAGAGTAACAGTAAGACTGGTGAACACAAGGAAAGGAGCTTGGTTTGAGGAAGCTATATGCAAAGAAAGTCAACTCTATCACCACAGAGAACAAGATAAAAAAAGCAACTGCTGCAAATGCCTGCCAACCCAAGTGACTTAAGATGGCTCCTTTCTAAATGCCAGCACTCAGGAAGCTGAGACAGGAGGATTGCCATGAATTTGATGCCAGTCTGGTCTACATAGAGAGGCCTTCTTAAAAAAAAGAAAACGTGGGCTGGAGAGATGGCTCAGTGGTTAAGAGCACTGACTGCTCTTCCAGAGGTCCTGAGTTCAAATCCCAGCAACCACATGGTGGCTCACAACCATCCGTAATGAGATTCGATGCCCTCTTCTGGTGTGTCTGAAGACAGCTACAGTGTACTCATAAGTAAAATAAATAAAATCTTTAAAAAAAAAAAAAAAAAAGTAAAAAAAAAAAAAAACGTGCTTGGTATGGTGCAACAAAAATTTTTTTTTTTTTTGGTTTTTCGAGACAGGGTTTCTCTGTGTAGCCCTGGCTGTCCCGGAACTCACTCTGTAGACCAGGCTGGCCTCAAACTCAGAAATCCACCTGCCTCTGCCTCCCATCTTTTTTTTAAGAATTAAACAAAGTAATTTTGGAAATGGTGTGCACAATGACTTGGAAACTTAAGTGTACAGCAGAAGCTAGAGAAAGCATCTGCTGTTAAGTAATCCAGATCTGAGATGCTGGGCAACCGAGAGGAGGGCTCCTACAGAAAAGTGACATGGCACTGCTTCACCATGGATCGGAAGGGGACAGACTTGGGGGCGTGGAGACTAATGTCCTGGAGCCTTCTAGATTTAACAGCTACTATGACCAACACCAAGTGTACTCCCCCACAGGAAAACTCAGGATACCTTGATAGTGATACTGATCAAGCTGGAAAAAGAAAACATCTCATAAGCAAGATAAGAGAGATTTTGACATGCAAGATGAAAAATTTGCTTTTGCATATTGTGAGGTCAGGAAAGTCTGACAAAAAGGTGAATACAAATAAAGATACATTTTCAGACACTGACTTGGCAGCACAAACAATTATTGGGGGAAGGGAAGAATAGATCCACTTTCAGTTTTTGTTGTATTTAAAACAAGATCTCAAAATGTAGCCCTGGCTGGCCTGGAATTCAAAATATAGCTCACAATAGCCTTGAACCCATAGAGATCTGCTTCTCAGGTGCTGGGGTTAAGGCATTCACCGCCATGCCTGGCCCACCTTTAGCACTTTAGGAGCAAGAAAAGTGTGTTGTTGCTTCATCAACAACTGAAGGAGGACAAAAGCTCACAGACAGCGACAATAAAATAGATTTCAGGGCAGGTAGAGTGGCAAACACCTTTAATCCCAGAGCTTGGGAGACAGCCTGGTCTACATAGAGTTTCAGGATAGCCAGGGCTACATGGAAAGCCTCTGTCTCAAACAAACAAAAAGCCAGGCATGACAGTACACACCTACACTCCCAGGTTTCATGGAGGCAGAACCACCAGGTTAAATAAACTCTAAGTTACCTAGTGAGCTCCAGGTCAGCCTTTATAACAGGCTGTTCCAAAAAAACACTAACAGCAAAGAGCTAGCTATGAACAACGGTTACACTCTTTGTCCCCACGAGATTATCACAGATTATAGAGGGTTTCCCTGAAGTTCACGTCAGCTTACCATCTCTTTGTCTGTGATCAGGTTACACAGCTCCAACCAGGCTCCCCAGTGCAAAGGCAAAACATGAGTAGCCTCCACAAACACATCAATGGCCTCTTTCACTAAGTCCAGCTTCCGAAGCACCACCCCATACCTGGGAAAGAGGGAGGTTAATGCCTGAGAATGTCTCTTCTACTCAAAAGGACAAACGTGCAGTAGAAAGCCCCACAGCCCTGGTAACACTCACAGGTAAAGGCCGAATCCATCAAGTCCCCGAGCTTGGTGCTTCCTACTAAGTTCCACTCTCAGTTCTCTGAGAGCTTCATTTTTGACTTGTCCTTTTTCTAGGGGTCCTGGGGAGAGGAAAGGATGCTCACTTTCATCCTCTCTCACACACACATTTCTGTTATCATCAACCAAAACTATGCCTGCAACCTCTAGTAACTCTAGATGGCCCACTCATTCACAAAACCCATTTACTCTAGATGATGGCTGGTGTACAGTCCTAGGTTATCAATGTTTACAAATCAGAAGCTTCAACTAAAACAGAATTTTCCACCTTAAGTTGCAGAAAGCAAGCATGATTCAAGTGGGGCAAACAAACCCACAGGCCGATTCCCACCAGCAGCTCTCAGGTAGAGCTGGGTGACAGCAGTAGCTGAGATAGCCATGATCTCTCCGTTCCACACAGGCTATGCAGTCCACTTATGGCTCCTGCATGGCCTCTATGGCCTCTAAGCATACAGCCCAGCTTTTCTGTCTAAAGGTTAGACGGGGGAAAAAATCATACCTAGGCTGTCAACTGTTTCGTCATCCTTCTTCTTCTCTCCAGACTGTAAGAGGGAAAGAAAGAAATCAACAAATAGGGTTTGGTTTTTCTGTTGTTCGTTTTTGTTGTTACTGTCTGACTTGTTATAATATCAGCAGCTTGATTCTATCTACAGGACTAACTAATGTCTAAGCAAAATAACATCCACTGTCTAAACAGCCATTCATTCAGGTGTTCCCACGGAATATAGAATAAATTGAGCACCAAACACTTGGAATACAGTAATGAATTACAGATATGTAAACATATGAGAACCCATGAGCTCTTACTGCTACTAAGAAATAAATGTGAAGGGCATGGCGGCTCTTACTGGAAGCAGAATACCTGTTGAGTAAGTGTGGAGAGAATGCGAGAGGGAAAAAAAAAATCATTTTGCAACATCAAGTAAAAGTACTTTTGGGGAGAAAAAAGTCTGTTTCAGGTAAAACTCAGCAATGGATACTGTAGCTGAGTTGGAGGAGTGCCTTGTCCACCATGACTGTACCAGCTCACCCTGCTAGTCAGCTTATGCAACCAGAACACAAAATGGGTAAGAAACATCAGAGATCCCAAATGAAGAATGCTGGTTTTGTAAGAAAAAAGGAGTCAAACTAATCTCAGCACTCTGGAGGCAGAGGCAAGCAGACCTCTGTGAATTCTCGGCCAGCCTGGTCTACACAGTGAGTTCCAAGACAGCCAGAGCTACACATAGAAACTTTGTCTCAAAAAACAAAATAATAAGCAAATGAATAAAAATTTAAAAGGAGGAGCTAGAGAGATGGCTCAGTGGTTAAGAGCACTGACTGTTCTTCCAGAGGTCCTGAGTTCAAATCCCAGCAACCGCATGGTGGCTCACAACCATGTGTAATGGGATTTGATGCCCTCTTCTGGTGTGTCTGAAGACAGTTACAGTGTACTCATATACATAAAATAAATTTAAAAAAAAAATTAAAAGGGGCCAGTGAGATGGCTCAGCAGGTAAAGGAATTTCCCACCAACACTGATGCCCAGAGTTTTATTCTCAGGGATCCACATGATAGAGAGACCAACATCCCAAGTTGTCCTTCATATGCTGACATTCCTCCCACCAAAAATAAACAGAAAAAAAGCAAGTAAGCAAATGTAAAGCAATAATAAAGACTAAAGCAAAGAAGGGGCTGGGAGTGCAGCTCAGCTGGTATGCATGCTTGCTTAGCACGCAGGAAGCACTGCACGGACTGACACAGGAGCACACATCTGCAATCTCAGCACATGGGAGGCACAAAGATGAGAACCAGAAGAGAGTAAGATGATTTTAGGCTAAATATCAAGTTGAGGGTCAGCCTGGGCTACATGAGACTGCCTCAAGAAAAGGAGATACCTGAACATGTATACTTATACTAGAACATTCTCCTTAAGTAAAAAATTTCACCCAAATTTCAGCAAATGCTGCTTGGTTTTCTACCATAACTCAACCAAATTAGTTCTGTTATATGCACAGGCTACATATTGAAAAACAAGAAAGGCCACATGAGGCAGTGCATGCCTGTAAGCCTGGCATTCTGGAGACCCACATGATAATGGTTCCAGCACAGTACCCAAAACAAGCAAGCAAACAATTATAAATATGATATTAACTTGCCTCTGCTGTCTTTCACTTACTCATTTATTTACTTAGGTTTATCTGAGAAAGGTTCTTACTACTATCGCCATGGGTTTAAACTTAGAGAAATACTCCTGCCTCTGCCTTCAGAGTGCTGGGATCACAGGTGTGTGCTGCCACAAGAGGCTGCACTGCTCTTTATATTAAAGATGCTAACGACCATGAAATAAAGTAATAAACACTCTACAAGCAAGTGATAAATGAGTTCATAAAACTTTAAATCAACCGATGCTTTTCAACTCAATTCTATTTTTTGGGAGAGTCCTTAATATTATTTAGTTTTTGAGACAGAGTCATATTATGTAGCCCACACTGGCCTCAAACTCTTATCCCTCCTGCCTTGGGATCCCAAATACTAGGATTCTAAGTGTGCATCACCATGTCCTGCTTTCGGAATTTTGATTTTGAGTTAGGGTTCTATCACTAGCTAGACTAGCACTCACTATGTCACTGTGTAGACAAGAAGCCTCAAATGTGCTGGGATCCTCAGCTCTCTGTATCTAGAGCATGGAAATTATAGACATGACCACACCTTGTCAATTCTCAAGTACTGATTCATAAAGCACCTCACAGAACCCAAAGAACACAGTCATCCTGTTGATAATTATCCTACCTATGTCTTGGTCTGTTTTTTTAGTTTTTCGAGACAGGGCTTCTCTGTGTACTGTCCTAGAACTCACTCTGTAGACCATGCTGGACTTGAACTCTCAAAGATTCACCTGCATCTGTCTCTCAAGTCCTGGGATTAAAGGTTTGTGTCACTGCTACCTGGCAGTGGCAGCTGGCTCTGGGTCTTTGTGGCACCCTAGCTGGCTAGAAATTCATTATATAGATCAGACTAGCCTTGAACTCACAAAGATCTGCCTGCCTCTGCCTTACAAGTATTAGAATTAAAGGTGTGTGCCACCAGGCCTGGCATCATTGTTTTCATTACTACAATATAAATATTCAGTATATTCACTTGGTGACTTGTTGCCTAGCTATGTAAAAACTAAACTTCTTCAAGGCTGAAGAGATGGCTCAGTGGTCAACAGTACTGGCTGCTCCTCCAGAGGACCCAGGTTCAAATCCTAGCTCCCACATGGCAGCTCATAACCATCTGAAATTCCTGTTTCAGGGGATCCAACAGCCTCTTCAAGCCTCTGCTGGTACCAGGCCTACCAATGATGCACAAATACATGCGGGTAAAACATCCATGTATCTAATTCCTTTTTAATTAAAAACTTTCCTCTTTGTTCTAAACATAGATGCTTCACCAAAAGCAGAACAACATCTTAAGTGGACCTCACCAGGTATCTGGAATACATGTACAGGAAATAGGCTTTCTTGCTATTGCAGCCATGCAGAAAATGTGCTGCCCGGTCATACTCTTTAACATCGAAGTAGGCCTTGGCCAAGGTGTAAGCATCCACATCCTGCGCGTCCTCCTAGAAGACACAGGTTAAGTAAGTGATTAGGTCTCAAACAGCCAACGGTAACCTAGCAAAAGGATATTCATTAATTTTGAGATATAGGAAAGGATGACTATTTCTCCTCCCCAAAATGTATAAATACATGCATTTATATAATTTATACAGTATTTTAAATAAATAAATCACATGCAATGGCAAACAACTTTTTTTCCCAAAGTATTTTTTCAAAATAAAAAGTGGGGCCTGGCATGGTGGTGCACATCTTTGATCCCAGCATTTGGGAGGCAGAGGTAGGCAGATCTCTGTAAACTCAAACCAAACCTGGTCCATGGAGTGGAGACTTGGGACAGCCAGGACTATATAGTAAGACTCAAAAAAGAAAAAAAGTTGGGGTCTGGGAGATGGTTCAGTGAGTAAAGTGCCTGTCACACACATGATGAACTGAATTTGCACACCCAGCACCCACACAGGAACCAGACATAGGACCCTACATCCGTAACCCCAGTGCATGCCTATAATCCCAACACTTGGGGCTGGAGAGCTGGCTCAGCAGCTAAGAGCACCAACTGCTCTTCCAGAGGTCCTGAGTTCAATTCCTGGCAACCACATGGTGGCTCACAACCAACTGTAATGGGATCTGATGCCTCTTCTGGTGTGTCTGAAGAGAGCAATGGTGTATTCATATATATATATAATAAATCTTAAAAAAAATAAAACAAATAATAATTCCAATACTTGGCAAAAGCAGGAGGATGAACTCAGGGCTCTGCTCAGCATTTGTTTGAGGCCAGTTTGAGGCCAGCCTAGGCAACAAGAGGCCCTGTGTCAAAAGAGAAGGAAGAGGTGAGGAAGGCAAGAGAAGGAGAAGGGAAGAGGCAGGGAGAGGGAAACAAGGTCATGCTCATGACTTTAGTGGTGAGTACCCCCACCTGGCACACACAGGCTACACACTAGTTTGTTGGGGCCAGCAAGATGGCTCAGAAGGTAAGAGCACTTGCCACCAAGCCAAGCGGGAAAACCTGAGTCAATTTTCAGGACCCACGAAGTAGATGGAGAGAATTAACTCCTATAGGCTCTCCTCTGATCTTAACATATGTGACACGGCATGTGTGCACACACGTACATATACAATAAGTAAATAAAGAAGATTACAGCTGAGCAGTGGTGGTGCACGCCTTTAATCCCAGGACTTGGGAGGCAGATACAGGTGGATTTCTGAGTTCGAGGCCAGCCTGGTCTACAGAGTGAGTTCCAGGACAGCCAGGGCTACACAGAGAAACCCTGTCTGGAAAAACCAAAAAAAAAAAAAAAAAAAAAAAGAAGAAGAAGAAGATTACACATAATCTCAGCACTCAGTAGGCAGGAGAAGGAGGATTGTATAAAGGCCAAGGCCAATCTGTATTAAGTTTGAGACTAGCAAACTACCAAAAAATTATGCAAAACTAGGTAAACATATGTAGTGGTTTGAATGTGCTTGGCTCAGAGTGGCACTATTAGGAGGTGTGGCCTTGTTGGAAGAAGTGTATCACTGCATGGGTTGGTATTAACACCCTCCTCCTAGCTGCCTGGAAGACAGTCTCCTCCTGACTGCCCTCAGATCAAGATATAGAACTCAGCTCCTTCTCTAGGACCATGTCTACTTGGATGCTGCTATGCTTCCTGCCATGATGATAATGAACTAAACCTCAGAATCTATAAGCTAGCCCCAATCAAATGCTGTCCCTTGTAAGAATTACCTTGGTCATGGTGTTTGTTCACAGCAATGGAAACCCTAAGACAATATACATACATAAAATATAATTATCCATAACTCTTCATATATATAAACCTTTGTAACTCAGAGTTTTATTACTTGGATTATATAGCCTTTGAATTTCTACTTCAGAGTCAGAAAGACGGCTCAGTGGGTGAATGAGCCTGTCGCCACACTTGGAAACCTGAGTTTGGTATCCAGAATCCACATGGTAGAAGGAGCACACACATGGTAGAAGTGTCACACATCCAAACCCTTCATCTTCAGATCACTACAGAGCACAATGGTGTACAACTTTAATCTCACCACTCAAGAGGCAGAGGCAGGCAGATTTCTGTGAGTTCAAGGTCAGCCTGGTCTACATAGCAAATTCAGACATCGTAGGGTTACTGTTCCTCTGATGAAACACCATGACCAAAGCAACTTGGAGAGGAAAGGGTTTATTTCATTCATAGTTCCATATTGTCATCAAAAGCAGAGAGGACAGGAACTCAAGCAGGGCAGGAATCTGGAGGCAGGAGCTGATGCAGAGACCATGGAGGATGCTACTTACTGGCTTACTCAACTTGTTTCCTATAGGACCCAAGACCACCATCCCAAGGCAAGGAAATACCCACAATGGGCTGGGCCCTCTCTGATCAATCACTAATTAAGAAAATGCCTTACAGTCAACCTTATGGAAGCATTTTCTCAATCAAGGTTCCTGATGAAGCAGGAAGTGGCACATTTAAGCCCTGTCTATGCCCCTCAGTGAGAGGCCCAGACTTCAACAGTTAAAGACAAAGAGTGGGGCTCTTAAAACAAAGAGTGGGGCTGGAGAGACACTTCAACAGTTACAAGGACTGGCTGCAATCGTAGAGGACCTGACTCTGATTGCAGCACCCGAGAGGTAGCTCACAGGGTCTCTGATGTCTGCTGGCTTCCACAATCACCAGGAACACGTGTGTGCTGCATACGCACATATGCAGACACACTCTCACACATAAAATGAAAATAAAAATTGAACTGTCAATATAGCTCAGTGTTAGAGTGCTGGCTTAGCACAGTTCCTAGGTCCAATACCTACCTAAAAGGAAAAAATGGTCAGGGTTCTATAATATCTATAAAACCCAAGCATTACATGAGTTCCTAAGAACTACACATTTTACATTTATTTAGTGTGTGTACACATACATGACACAGCATGCCTGTAGAAGCCAGGAGTCAGTTCTCTACCTCCACGTGGTCCAGGAGACCAACCCAAGTCATCAGCCTCTCTCCTTGGATGTGTGACAGGAAGTGTGGAGAGCAGACAGGTGCTGAGCTCCTCTTCCCTCTCACTTGCTACTGCTCGCTGCTTACTCACTCAGCAGAGCTGCGAGTGTCAGTGCGCCGAGGCACCCTGACAGTACAGAGAAGTTACAGGCCAATAAGACGAATGCAAACCACAGGGATTTAAAAAAAGCCATGTAAAAATAATATATGTACAGCCAGGGGTGGTGGCGCATGCTTTTTATCCAGCACTGGAAAGGCAGAGGCAGGTGGATTTCTGAGTTCAAGGTCAGCCTGGTCTACGAATCAAGTTTCAGGACAGCCATGGCTGTTACACAGAGAAACTGGTTTGAAAAACCAAAAGCAAAAAAAAAAAAAAGTTAAAAAAATATACATTACCCTCATTGCCTTATTTAATATTCTTGAAAACTGCAAACTATTTAATTCTTATCTATAAGTAAAAAGGCTGTCACCTTTGGGAGGGCGTTGGAGGGGTTGGAGTGCATACTTACTTAATAGGCTGGCTTTAAACCAGCAATCCTTCTGCCTCAGTCTCCCAAGTGTTATGATTAGAGACAGGCATGTGCCACCACACCCGGCAGCAGAAGGCTTGCAACTTATAAAACTCACCTGCCAACACTGACACTAGTGTTGAAACTAGAACTGATACTAGCCTGAAACACAGATGAAAATGCATTTGCAAGTCACAAGCACTCTATCTTCCAGCGCTGTTAATAAGAATGGCTAATTTTACTGAATCCTGTGTGACTGGTACAGCTTTTCTATTTTGTATCTGCTTTTTAGGTGCTGAAAGTTGAATTCAGGGCCTCAGACATGCTACACAGAACTGCATGAGATCAGGTTTGGGCCATGACTTGTCATCCTCTGGCCTCAGCCTCCTACCAGCTCCTGTGCCGTCAAGCCCAGTTTAAACCTTTTATCCCATTTAATTCTCCCTACAACACAAAACAGGTACTATTATCCCCATTTCACAGATAAGGAAATAGTGGGCCAAGAGGTTAAGTTGTTCTGTGTCATTAATTTGAGCTTCAAAGCTTTTTTTAATTTATTTTTTTAATTTTCAGGACAGGCTTTCTCTATATGGCTGTCCTGGAACTCACTCTGTAGACCAGAGTGCTGAGATTAAAGACATATGACACAGCTCAGCCCAAACCCATACTCTTAATAACTTTGCAATGAAGAACAATGTATAGAACAATAATTTCACCCTGTTGCAAAAACTTTTCATATGCGTCTTATTAACACTGTCCAGGTTGTCTACAAAACCTAAAAGGACTTGAAGGGTTTGTTATTGTCTTAATTTTACAGGTCTGTACATCACATGCATATCTGGTGCCCTCCAAGGCCAGAAGGCACTGGATCCCCTGGAACTTTGTTACAGGCAATTGTTAACTGCCCCTGAGGATGCTAGGAATTAAACTCAGATCCTCTAGAAGAGCAATAAGTGCTGCTAACTGCTGAGCCATCTCTCCAGCCCTCTTTAAAAAAAAAAAAAAAGACTTATTTTATTTTTAATTATGTGTGTCTTCATGTAGATTGTGCATGTGCTTGCTGAAGCAAGCCAGAGGAAGATGTCAAAAGATAGTGTTGGCTCTCCTGTCCCAGGCGCTGGAGTTACAGGTCATAAACAACTCCCAACTCCCACGGGTACTAGGAATTGAGCTCTAGTCCTCTGCAAGAACAGCACATGCAAGCCACGGAACCATCTCTCCAGCATAAGGATGAACTTTTGATTTCTTTTTTATGTGTATGCATGTATATCTGTATAGCACATGTATGGTATAATGTGTGGCTATCTGCAAAGAACAGAAAAGGGTATTGGATCCCCTGGAGCTGAAGTTACAAGTGCTTTTGAGACACCTCCTGAGGGTGCTGGAAATCGAACTGGGGTCCTCTGGAAGAGGAACAAAGGTTCTTAACCACTGAGCCATCCATTCAGCTCCACCAAGGATGAAATCTTAAGCAATAATTGTTTACCAATTCTCTCCAGCTTCAGTAACAGCGGAGACTATATTTACCTTCCAAGGCACAAACAACCCCCACACAGGAACTCCCCTGTGAGGCCCCTTCAAATGCTGGCGTCTCTGCTCCATCACTCCCACTGAGCAGCTGGCTCCCCTCCAGTGACAGGGCGCTGAGTACCCTGGGCCACATCCCTCGGTTAGCGGGAACGTCACTATAATGACGCCCTTACCTCTGTAAGAGGCGGCAGCGGCTGCAGCTCGGACAAAGGCAAGGCGGGCAGAGAGAAGGCCAACTCCGCAGACCTGGAACACCACACAAACTGCATCAGCCACGCGAGCCCCCGAGGCTGAGATCCAGCGCCGCCCCGTCCGACCCCGACCTCTCACCATTTGCTGCTGTGCAGCAGGCCTCGCTCCCGAGTGAGGCCTGCGATGAGCAGCAGCTGCTTTTTAATTTCCCGCAAGTCTGAGAAATCCGCGATAGTGGACACGCCCGGCACCGCCGTGGTGGCCGCTGCCACCGAGACTACCGAAGGATTCGCAGCCATTTTCCTCCCTCCGCGGCTCCAGCCAATCAGCGGCGACAATACTTGCTCCGCCGAACCGAAAAAGTCTGCCTCTTATTGGTCTAGCCTTGCTCGGAACAACCAATCACAAATCTTCCTCGTAATGTTCCGAAAAGGCGCTGGGAAAAAGAGACAGTTCCTGATTGGCAAGAGCTACTGAGGGAGGTAAATTAGAACATGAAGTGAAGGGGAGTGGCGGGCCGGACTGAGGCATCCCAGCATAAAAAAGATGGAGAATAGAAAGCCATGTACGGTGTATGAGTCCATTGATCGCCAAAGAATGATACCCCAGGTTCAAATAGTATGTAAAAGCAAGGAGCATTTTATTCTGTAGAAGATATGGTAGTCCCTCATTTCAAGATGGAGAGTCCCAAAGTGAACTCGCAGGCTCAATTTAAAGCACATTATGGGAATTCCAGGGTAGGTGACCTCTATCTTAATCTGTTGGATCCATCTCTATGGAAATTCTAGAACCATTACAGGAGCGTGGGTCCATCTCTATGGAAATTTCAGAACCCTTGCCAGGGTGTGGGGGCTGGTGGCAGGGCAGCTTCTGACTAGCTGCCTGAAACCTGGGTGTTTTGTTTTTTTCTTCTAGTAACTGGCTTGTCTGGACTTGTCCAGTTCTTGGAAATAGAGATTTAGGCCTAGTCTCCTTAACTGTCAATTCGAAGCCTGTCATGGAGTCAGCCTATTGCATCCCTCTCACCTCACCCCCATCCCCCTTTCAGTATTGGGCCATCTCAAACCCTCGAGATGTGTTTAATGTTTTTATGGGCTGGTATTGTTGTTTGAGAATCATCAATTGAACAATGGAAATCCGTTCTTTAATAAATGTAATTAAAGCATTGATTACACAGGGACTGTAAGTCAAGGCCAACATCAGTAGGATAAGAGGATCAATCAGGGCAGAGACGGGGTGGTCAGCATAGGAGACCAGTTCAAGAGGGACTCATACCAACCCTGAGTCTGTTCGCTTTCTATTCTTCTCTCTTGTATACTCTCTTTCTAAGGCCATGGATTCTTTGACCACCCCTGAGTGGTCAACATAGAAACAACAATTCTCATCTAAGGCTGGACAGAGTCCTCCCTGGTGGAGGACCAGCAAGTCTAGGCCTCTTCTGTAAGACTACTTCTGGCAGGGAGGATAAGAATCTTGCATGACTGTGATAGACTTTTCTATCTCCTGTATATCTGCATCTATTGACACCCATAGGGCTTTGTAATTTTTATCTTGTAGTATCAGGCTGAGGCCCCTACACTAGCAGCTCCAGCCAGCCCTATGTCAAGGAGAGAACTTAGTAACGCAGTGGAAATGACCACCCTTTTTAATCGATTGTTTGGAGGTGCCAGTAGGTTGATGACATCCTCCCCAGAGTAATAAATCATTTTTGGTATAAGCTGCACTAGAACATAAAAATCTTAAGTCGTATTTACAACCAGGCCATAAACATATGGAGTAAGCCCCAAGGTACGAGTCCACCAAGTGTTCTCTGGGGACAGCATGTCTCCTGTAATGGTAGGGGTTACAGTGCAGTTGTAGAAGTGATAATAGGCTGAGGGTATCTTATTTTTAATATAGAATCCCTGTCCTGTTATTAACTGTAGGGTCAGCCTACCTCTATCTGGTTGTTGTCATTTACATTGAGAACCGTCTGTGAATAGTCTCCAGGTATAGCTATTCCTTCATAGTAGGGGGCTGAGCATTTAAGCATAACCAACAGTCCTGTGTTAAGTCTGGGCAGGAGGAGTTAAGAGCCAGGAAAGTGGCATCTAATAATTGCAGAGGTCCTGACTTGGGTGCTGAAGTAGGTAATCCAGGAGGTGGAATGGTTTTTAGGGAATAGTTGGTTAGATGAAGTGAGACCTAGCTGGGGCAAAAGGTTGGTGGTCCTGATGAGGGAGTGACAGTGAGCAGAGGCAGAGGTTGCAGGGGTGGTTGGTTCAGCCTTGTTAATAACTTGTTGGGGCCTAAGGGAACCATGGGTCTCACAGGGCTCCATTGGAGCAATTGGACAGTAAATAGAAGTCCTGGATCATATTGAGAGATGTAAAATCTTAGTCCCCATGTCTTACCAGTAGTCCAATCAGCCTTCTTGACAGCTGCCAAGAACTTGATGACAAGACTGTTGCATCTCCCCTTGGAAGCACCCAGATAGTAAGGGGGCTCAAAACAAGGTCTGCAAGTCTCTCTCCTAGGAGGTTGGTGTCTCTTCTTATATAGGACCCGACTCCGGATGTCTGTGTATCTCCAAACCGAGTCACAGTGATGAGGTCATCTTTGATGGGGGGTTCTTTTAGCTTATCTATCCAGTAGCTTCACACCCCCATGTCACACAGAGAAAGGACTCTGGACCTCTACATTTGGTTCACTGACTACCATCCTGAGTGTGCCCCAGGCAGACATAAAATGCCTGAGATCTGTGTTCCTTCAGGTCCTGGGTGAGTTGCAACCATAACCAGGAAAGGGCTGTTGATCCAAGGGGTCTCATCCACTAAGTCACAAAGGTCTACATGGAGATCAGGGAACCAGGTGCCCAGGGGAGCCGAGTGGGAGGTAGAGTTGGCAGTCTTACTGGTCGCAGCATTACCTATCTGCCAGGTTAGATTCAGAGGATAGCGGAGGCTAGAGACTAGTGTAGCAAATCATAAGCAACAAGCAAGCAGCATCAGGAGTCCTAGAGTCTCAGTTTCAGCGGATCGACAGGATGAGGGGCGACCTTTTGTATTTCTTGTGGTGGTTCACCTGGAAGCCTCTTTCTCTGGGACCTCAACTATTGGATGTCTCTCTCATGGCAGACTTAACATAGGAGTGGTATATCCACTTTCAGATTCTGTCTACCTTAACAGCCATCGGTGCGTGTGATCAGTATCACAGTGTGGGGTCCTTTCTATCTTGTAATTATGTCTCTCTTTCTCTCTTTTTTAAAAAGATTTATTTATTTTATGTATATGAGTATGAGTACACCATAGCTGTCTTCAGACACACCAGAAGAGGGCATCAGACCCCATTACAGATGGTTCTGAGCCACCATGTGGTTGCTGGGAATTGAACTCAGGACCTCTGGGAGAGCAACCAGTGCTCTTAACTGCTGAGCCATCTCTCCAGTCCTCATCATTTGTAATTTAAACTTTTACATGAGCCTGTGATCACTTTGTTATCTCTAAAACTGGGGTAATAAAATGATAGGAATACCATAGCTCTGATTTTAGAATTAAATTAGATTATGTTTGTAAAAGTCCCAGTTAGCTCTCTGTGCCCCCTACTTGTGGGTCAAGGTGTCAGGTGTCAGCTACTGCTCCAGCATCATGCCTGATGACATGCTTTCTGCCATAGCAGCCATGGATGGAGTTGTAAGCTCCAAATAAATGCTTTCCTTTATAAGTTGCCTTGGTCATGGTGTCTCTTCATAACAATAGAGAAGTAACTAAGACACCTTGGGAAATTTCTGAGCTATTTTGTTATTCTTTGGATTTTTTTTCCCTTTGTTTGAGTTTAGTTTGGGGTTCTTTTGAAATAATCTTTCTCTGTATGTAGTGTTGGCTATCCTAGAATTCTGTAGGTAGACTAGGCTGGCCTCAAACTTACAGAGATCCACCTGCCTCTGCTAGGTGGATTAAAAGGTATGCACCACCATGCCTAGAATTGTTGGGTGTTTTTTTTTTTGTTGTTTGTTTTTTGTTTTTCGAGGCAGGGTTTCTCTGTGTAGCCCTGGCTGTCCTGGAACTCACTCTGTAGACCAGGTTGGCCTCGACCTCAGAAATCTACCTGCCTCTGCCTCCCAAGTGCTGGGATTAAAGGCGTGCACCACCACAGCCCAGCGGGTGTTATTTTTAAAGTATTTCAAAGGCAGACTTGTAGACCAACATGGTGGAAGAAGAGAAAACACTCCCTACAAGTTGTCCTATGACCTGCACACACACACACACACACACACACACACACACAAATGGAATGAAAAGTGTAAGGCCAGCTGTGGTGGTATATATCTATAATTGCAGCACCTGGGAGGGAGGGAGAGGCAGGAAGATTAGGAGTTCAAAGTTATTCTTGGCTACGTTGGGAGGACTTCAAAACCAGACAGTGCAACATGAGACTCTTGTCTCAAGACAACAAAACAAACAAAGGAAAACAAAAAGCAGCCAGAAAGTGATTTTAAGTAAAGTATGTGATTGTAAATTTAAATGTTATCATTAAAAATTACATTACCCTCATCAAAGAAACATCTCTTTGTAACAGACAGAATAGTAAGGAAAACCACAACCAATCAAAAGGCAGAGAGCAAGAGCTCCCTGGTGGCCAGCCCTAGCTGATTCAGCTACAACACAACTGCACCTAAGGCTCTGAGGTCACAGCAGAAGAAGAGGAGCAGAAGACGGCAAGAGCCAGAGAAGCGGAAGCTTGCTGTGGGAGTCGCATCTTCTAGAAATGTCAGGCATCACACCCAGTAAGCCTCATTAACATGTCTGCCTAAACAAGACCTGAACAAAACCAATGGACATGGACAAGGGGAAGGTCGGGGGACTCAATCCTAGACAAAGAATTTCAGCCAACTAAGGAAAGCCAAGAGCAGGAAAAATAATCTTCCCCAGGGAAAATTGCCTCCACCCCCCCACCCCACCACTGTTTATCCAACACCAGTGGTCAGCCCTGAGATCCTGTAACAAGTAACATTATACCGACTAAGGCTGAGGTTTTATTTAGGAATATGTATTTATGAACAATTAAAGAAAAGACTCCATGAATTTGGAAGAGAATGGGGGTGGGGTGGAGGGAACACTGGAAACACTGTAATTATAACTTCAAAAGATGTAAAAAATATAAGCCAAACACAGTGGTGGATTCCTTTAATCCTAGCACTCAGGAGGCAGAGGCAGGTGGATCTCTGTGAGTTCCAGGCCAGCCTCATCTACTTAAGCTCCAGGCCAGCCAGGGCTAGGCAGTGAAGCCCTAGAGAAGTGGCTCAGCATCAGAAGATCTT